CTTCGGGATGAACACGCGAGTCTTTTCCGCGGATTGAAAAGGAGAACAAGGTAGGAAAAGCTCTCGCTTCGCTTCGCGGCAAGATTCGCAAAGTTTCAGCCGTGCGGTGAAACGGTCGTAGGAGACGCCAGGTAGGCCAGAGCGAGAAAGCGGCACAAATCACGAAAAGAAAAATACTTTTCTCCCGTACGAGTACACTCCTCGATCCCCGTGTCGTCGCACAATAGTCAAGGATACGATCCACACCACCTTTCTCGAGACCCTCGAGTTGTCGCGAACGACCTCCTGGTTCTCGATCCCTCTAAGCTTAATCTCGCAAACAAGCGGAATGGCCGGGTAACGATAGCCCTGTAAATAATTAATGCCGAAACTCTTGATGGTAGTTATGTATCCCCAAGATGTTATATACGTTATCGGTAATCGGCGCGTCATCATATGTCCATATATATATATATATGTGTGTGTGTGTGTGTGTGTGTGTGTGTGTGGACGCAAACTATATACTATGTCAGAAATTCTGCTACTTCTACGTGGAACATCTCCTTGGAAAGTGTGAGCGCACAGTTTGGATATTAATATTCTTATCACCGGGAGAAAAGTATCGTGTTAGTGTTAAGTTGTATCGCGCTGATATCGACGCTGTTAACGATGTTAACCGGGACGACAGAAACGGACTGACCCGAGTTCACGCGGTGCAACGAATAGGATCGAGAAATTTTGAAAGATCCATCATTTTAAGGGGGAAAGGCCGTTTACAAGACTATTTTTACGAATTTTTTTAACAGAAACGGTAAGATCAATGGACTTGAAATTTTCACAGTGTATTCATTAATGTGCTGAAAGTATAAAATAAATTTTATTGAATCACAAGAACCGATCCAATTTGTTAATTATAGATAAAAATGTAGTCATCCGTTTGCGAGCTCTATGTTTGCTGTCGACATAATTCCGGGCCTCTCACTACTCTGAGATCAAAAAGTGAGAAAGATTTTAAAAATATACGGCTACCATTATAGCCCGTACCTACAAAAAAAAGTATCGAAAATGAAACTTTTTTCAACTTGTAATCATGTTTAAAAAAATGAATAAAATAAAATATAACTGCGTTCAAAGCAGGGGCGAAAATCACATGTCTACTATATATTGTATAAAAATTTCAAGTTATTCGGTTCAGTAGTTTTTGCGTAAGCGTGTCGACAGTTTAAGAAGATGATGTTTCCAGATAAACGCGTTTAAAGTTTTATGTATACTTTCCATATAGTAGTTCCAGATAGTAACAAATATATTTTATACTTTGAACATTAATGAATACACTGTGAAAATTTCAAGTCCACTGATCCTACCGTTTCTGTTAAAAAAACTTCGTAAAAATAGGCCCGTTGAAAACGGCCTGCTCCGCGTGTAATTCTCCCCTTAAGAGGGGATTATATATTATCATTATTACCAACAATTGTTGTGTGGACGCGGTACTTGTGCGACGATTGCCGCGAAATGGATTTCTGCGTACCAGAAATGAGACTGGCCGAAATCTCAAGCCCCCTGGGAAATTTCCTCAGAATTTATCGGCCGGCCGAAAATCTCGACGGTCTCAAATTCGAACTTCGAGCTGTCTCTCGGTCCGTTTCTGCTCGCTTAGGAGATGCGCCGCGAGTATCCGAAGTATGCGTGCGCGTCTTCTCTTCCCTTACCTCCGGGCAGTCTGTACATATATAGCGTGTAAGAAGGATGGAGAGGGCTAAGCTGTGAATCAAAAGCGGAAACACTCGACCCTTTTTCGAAATCTCTCTGTCTAATATCTCTGTCTGTAAAGTGTGTACTTAAGGCGCTCGTACATCTTAACGCCTTGCTTACCGGTCGGTAAATGTGTGCTTATCATTCGATTCGCATCCAAGTCGCAAAATTCGCACTTACGAAAAGGTCTGGAGTATACTTACTGATTAATACGTCACGTCGACGTAAGAGCGACGGAGAAGAGAAAACCGCGCAGTGAAAATTATGCGTCTATAAGTGTTAACGATTAGCGGTAATCGACTAGAGAGGTAGAAATACGTCGTGGTGGGATAGAAGTGGGATAGAACGTGAGACCGATTGTTTCAGATCTCAATATCCCGTAACTCTAGACACTAATCGATGAAACGCAATATTAACTAAGTATGTATAATTTCGTTCCTTAAGTGTAAGAGGCCGATCGATTTCAAGCGAGATCGAAGGCGCGGTCGAAGGCACTTTTTATCGGTATGCGAATATGTGTAATGAAAAAAAAAAAAAAAAAAAAAAGTGGTAGTAATAAGATAGAGAACGCGCGCAAACGCACCATCACGAGTGATGGTGGATGTTTCCCCAACATCGCACGCGCGCGCGTCACTCACGTACTATTGATATGAGAATAATTGATATAAAAACCTGGACGGTAATGAAGACGTTAAGAGGAGAACCAATGAAATCCGAATTCAAGCTATCGATATGCCTGTGTCTGTATACCTCTACTCTCGTTGTATGTCGGAAAGTGTAATACCGTAGACTCTAATTTATATCTCTTATCACTGTCGACGAGCTTAACAAACGCGACGAGACGTCGAGACCGGTGCCGGTAACCGTGCCGAGCAGAACGACGTGAAGTCTAACATTTACGCGTAGAATTCGCGATCAATCGTGCGATTTCGTATCGATTATCCATGCACGGGGGGCTTTTTAATTCATAGGTACACGCAGCGTACATTCGCTCGTACATGGCGAAAATTATTCAAAAAACTTTTCGTATATACATTAATAAAAGTACGTTACATCGAGCACGCTCGTAAATTATGCTTCAGTTAATTTCGCGATATCGAAGCGCAAATCGACGTGCGCAAATCCAACGCGTTGATGGAGAATCTTTTACCCGGGCGAACGATATTATCGATTGTATAATGAGCGTAAGGAATCTTTAATGACATAATTTCCTCCTCGTATCGTAGCGCGTAAGTTAAACTGAACGTCCGCGAGTCCACCGTCCTCTCAAACGATCGTGTGATAACGATATCAGGCGAGCCGGAATCGACGGCGAGAACATCGATCTATCTCGGGAATGCGCCCGATCGGCTCTCCCTTCGAAATACAAACTCGTTGAATCCGCGGCAAAAACATTGCCGCGGTGGAGAAGAAAATAAAGAAAGAAAAAGCAGGCCTGTCGATTTTTAGCAAGCACTGGTGCGACGAAAGGATTCCTCAATGGCGGCGGAATTCGAGAGGGCCGTTACGGCCGACCCTTCTTCTTCTTCTTCTTTTGATTTTCGACGAGCACGCGCGCATTATAATGAAATAAATCTGTCATATCCGACGAGGACCAAACAGCCGCGCCGTAATTTACCTCACCGATCGATCGCCGAGAGCCTTAAATCGCCGAGCTTTCTTTCTAGGGCCGTTGCGAGCGCGATTCCGGAGTCGCTTGACTCACAACGCGATCGGAAGCTGCGATGCGCGAACAATACGAATACGTGAGCGTGTTGGAGTACGAAGCGCAGCGCGCTTTTTGACCAATTTCCGAATATCTCGCCGTTTCTTCGTCGTGTGAGAGCACCGTATTCGCACTTCCTCGCACGCTATTTCCGGGGAGCTGAGCGCGTTTTTTCTAACCACGGGTCTAAGTAGATCTACGTAGGTAGACTTAATGTCTTGATCGCTTGCAGGACCGATGGACATGCATCGTCCGGAGAAATCGAGCTCGAAATGCCGGAAACAATGAAATACAATTTGCCCGAAATATATCTGGCATATCTGATCACTCGTCGTCCACTCCGATTTAGAGGGAAATTTTTTTGGAAAAAAATTGTTCAAATTGATTGACAGAAAAAGCTGATATAATAAAAATTGGAGTTTCCATTTAAAAGAAAAGTAATGATCAGTGAATATCTCGAAGGTGGCGCCATCTGTGAGCAAACTGATACAGTTGTTTCATGTTCCCCTTGAAACCACACGACTTTTGTCTGAAACGTTTTTCTCTAAAACGTCGCGTTTACAAAAAAATCGGGGTGGACGGTATACAGTCAGATACATCCGGTATAATTGTCCCGAGAGGAAAAAAGGAATTATTACATTTGAGTACATTGTGTCGCACTCAAAACTTCATTAGTACATGCTAACGTCTAGCTGTACGACGTGACGATTCTGATATTTCGATAAACTTGCATTTCTAGACATTGTTTCGGTATTGAGACTTTTCAAATCTCAGTATATTTATTTAAATTTCGGTACGTACGTATTTTTTTTTTTTCCGAAACAACGCACGCCCACAAATATTAATGCAAAATTCCATTATAGTAGAATTGTACTTTGGAAAATTGTTCCAAAGTCAAACAAACAGAAAGTTTAATTTCGGGGCAATGCATGTCACGGCGGTATCACTACATTCTCTCGTCCACTCGTTAATCGCTCATTACCTGGGCTTATCGTACCAAAGGGATGTTGGAGTGGCCTGTCGAAGCCCGGCGGTGGAGCACCCCATTTGGGCAGAAGCAAACTCGTATGTTGATTTGATTGACTGCAACGTGTCTGCTACCGTCTAGAGGATCCTTGGTTTGGTCTGTATAACATACTTGCTTAAACTGGTATTTACTGCGCACAGACTTTAGCGTAATCTCCGATGTGTACACACGATCTAGCGTCCTGCTGTAAGCTCTATCGAACATTTGTGACGTGAGTGGCGATCAATGCGTTTATCGTATTATACGAGGCACGAGAGATGATTATTCGTTTTTTTATTAACTGAAGATAACTTCTATTGTACGATATTGTCTCGAAATATATATAAAGAGGAAAAAGGACGAAGCATTGATTTGAGGTACTTCGTAAGTAAGATTCATTTTAATTGCATCACGCTACATAAGTCTCTCTCTAAGTAACTAAAGGATCAAAGAAAACCTTACTTTGTAAGTCTTGAAATGTATGATTTGCGCAATAAAGGGAACCCTGCAATGTGGATTTTATAAGAGTGAAAGGGTTGGAAAGAAGAAACACGCACCGACGAGTAAATCATACGTGTTATTCACAAAAGTATCCTCGTTTTCCTTCTCTCCTCCGTAATAAATAATTCGTGACAGTATAATATATTTATACAAGCACCGTAGAAGAACTTACAAATACCGCAGTAGCTCTGGCACGGCATGCGCCCATGCCTCAACTTTGTATATTATATATAAATCATAACTATCTATCGCGGTAACGCGGAAATCGGTATTGTACAGTCTTACGATGAGATGGTGGTAACATTCGAATTCGTATCCGAATTGCACTCGTTGTCGGTGACTTGGAACAAGTACCTGAAGTGCTGTACATACGGCTGACAGTGTTCCCCCCTGGTGAAGGCCGTAGTGTTGTGCAGCCTCAGGTTTCGCTGCTCGAAGAACTTGAAAACCGAGTGAAAGAGCGTCGCGTCGTCGATCGCTTTCGCTGCTTCCAGGAATTTTCTCGCGGACACTTGATCCGCCATACCGACCGATCGAACGTACCTGGAACACGGAGACATCGCGTGAGCACGTATACGCACACAAACGAACGCATATCGCGAGTCCAAGTGGCAGCCTGTCAATTACCTTAGGGCAGCCAAGATATGTCCCTTTGACAAGAGCACTTCGATTATCTCCTCGTGCGCATTGCCAAGCCTCTTCAGCATGTCCAAGGCCAACTGATGCGCCGCCGGATACAGGTTCTCCAAAGAGAGCAGCAGGCAGGCCAGGGGCTTCGAATCGGAGACCACGTGGTATTGCAGCAACTGATGCAGCTGGTAATACGCCTTCCGGTGTACCAACGTCGTAATGACCAACTCGTGCAAGTAATGTTGCACAGGTATCCCGTGTTCAGCTAACGATCTGTGAGATTCGACGGTCGCTCATAAAGCGCAATGATTCGACCGAGACTTCTTTATTAAAAATATGTTACAAGACACGTTTGAGAATATGTATTGAAAGATATGTAAAAACGGCGGGCAATGGATGAGCCACATTGCAGGTACAATTAATACATTACATTTACAGCAAAGTGTACACAGCAAGGTGTTACAAATTAAATAACTTTAAGTAACGAGAAACGTTTCGGCTGCTTCTTGTAGCTATCTTCACAGTCGAAATTATTAAGTCGAAAATTAAGAATTATCAATATTTATTGGTTCTCCTTTTATTATTCGCGTAAATGTCCGTTACGATTTTAATGTACCTGATATATTCGAGCAAAACCCATATTATCATCTTTGGCTCTATCGCGTCTTCGGGAAACTTGGATAATATGTGACTATACATGTCGCTCTGATCGAGTAACAGTTTATACTTGAAGTTCTCAGCCACTGTTGTTAAGTTTTTTACATTATTCTGCAACGGCGTTCCCATCTGCGAATAAGATATGAGAAAGGTGCGTAACATCTTGCCGATCACTATAGATACAGAAAGGGATATTATCCAGCATTACCTGATTTTGTATTTCACTTTCTAAATAATTCCTGTACACGGAATTAAGTTTATCAAATATGGCCGGCATCTCCATCAAGCTTACGGGTAAGTGCGTCATGAAGCTCTGGAGGACTTGTATCAATATCTGCTTAGCGTTCGCACGCTGCATTAAAAATTCGATGAGCAATACTTTATCCGTAATCAGCTTTACCAAAGCGTCCAACCTGAGCTCGATATACCTGTATTGATATTAACAAAAAAAAAATATCACATGTAGATGGATATAAAATCGCTTCAGGAAATACTGCAGTGGAAGAAACTTACCATAAACAACCGAGCTTCACGTCAATGATTATATTTGGCTGAAAGACAACCCAATTGGGAGAATCTATGTAACGTTAAGACTTAATGTCTGAACTGATAGTACTGAAGATTGTTACAAATGACCCATAGATATCGGTCTACTTCATGTATATTAAAGGATACATAATTGACATGGCTGATACATCTGATCGGACAATGTTGCACCCGGTACTTTAAGATTATACGGCTTGATCGGTTTTGCCATAGTCACACTGGTATGATGCATTACCGTGCCATCACTCACACCAGACAACATTATATCGAATATCATGGATGTCTGTTAAAAGAAATAATTAAATCTCGCTAGTAAACTTCTGTTTCATGTGTATATCTACCTTTGATGCTTGATGATGAACAATAATAAGATTATCAACAACGTTTATAGCAAATCTGCCACTAACGTCCAATTTTAACATATGACTTTTCTTGATGGTCATCATTCTGGAAGAAGATATAGTCACAGCATTGCATAGATTGCCGCATCTAGTAAATAAAATAAAAATACATCTTACTTGTGTACAGTATAGATGTACACAAACGCCGTTCCTATAGCGCGGTTAGCTCCTGGCTGATGTCGTAACAGGATTATACAAGGTGTTCCATATAATACAGCCAATGCTACATCTCTTTCAGAAACAGCCAACTTTCCTGGTTTTGTTATGCTATGTTCAACTGAAACAATCATGGTCACAGGTAATGTTTGTGGTTGCACAAAGAGAGAAAAATTACACTGAATCTTATTAACTTTCAAACTTGGTCAATTTGTGAAGATTGCCAGGTGTAACATGTAATGCTTGTATTTGATTACCAACTGTACCAGATGACAGTAACACCAGGTAACTTTTAGGACAAAATACAAACCAATTTACACCTAAACTTAAACATTTTACTGCCCTAATATTACGTTTTTCTGGATTTACCTGAAACAATGATAATTTTAGTACAATCTATATTTTCATAAAATAAACAATATAAAGCATAACATTTATAAAATTTGATAATTGCAAATATTTATTTAGGAAAGATATATTACTTTCATATGATAAATTCTACCTAACATCAGTAGTATCATCTGATATAACACTGAAACTTTGTAATATAAAAGAACTTAATTATATCATTTTGAAAAGATTTTCAAATTAGTTACTACAAGAATATGTAATAAAAAGACAGATAGCTGTTAAAAAAAGTTTATGATGACCTCAGGGCCTATGCATATAATGAAACTGAAATTACTGTTTTATGAAGTTTTTAACACTCTACCTGGAACATAAATTATGATAGTAGATACTAAATTTCTGATAAAGAACTATTTATCATCACATAATATATTCTCCTTGAGATACTTGCAACTGCCATATTGAACGGTCCAGTATGAGATGGCAATCTCTTACATGAAACAATTCTACTCCATGATCTGTGACTATTAATATCTCAGTGTTATGTGTCCACACAAAACCCAATATTGTGGCATTCTTTCCTTTGCAGGACTGAGAATACTCGACGTTATCCAAACCAGTGACAGGAGAGTAATTGACAAACTCCACCGAAGTACTGGTACGTTGAATTGCAAGTACATTCATGTCGGGAGAAAATTTGATGGAAATCACTGGGCCCTTATCCTCCATTCGAAAATTTATGTTCTGGTCAGGGCCCTTAACGAGCACTCCTGTAACACCTCCTGAGCGAACGGCGAAAACCTGCGCACACAAGCGATGTTTATCATCTTGAGATAATGGAACAGCGAGATTTACATTCACCGAGGAAATTGACTGACTTGTTGTTTTGAATCATCGAAAAATACATTCGTGAGGCTGCTGACTGATTCAAACCTGATGGGTTCGGTGGACAATTCCAAGTAATAATCCTCATTCTTTCCCTGATCGTCAACTTCCATGTTTGGCACGATTAGGGATTGACTAGACATACACGTTTGTTTTTCTTCTTCGCCTAACTTTTTGTATTAATGTACACTATGGAGAGAATATACACTATACAAATTGTTCTTCCTAGTAAATATAATATTAATGTTAATGTTTTCAATATCACACATCGGATTATATACAATGTTCTTTTGTACAAGAACTAATAAAGTGTCATGTCAAACTAGAATACTTTGAAACATCAACTAACCTAAGTATATAAAAAAAGCTTGAGAGGATACTGTAAGAATTTCATGAAATACTTCCTGAATACGCCCTCTGAAAAAATACGTGTAAAACACACCATTTATTAACTTTCCAGCTTTATCGACATCCTTATATAACGGATTTCACTAAGGCCTGGTCTACAATACGTGTCGTAAGTTGTAAGCCGTAATGGCTACAGGACGCGGCAACGCTTGCCGCGCGGCGGAAATTCGCACGTTAGCCAATCAACGTGCCGCTATTCCGTAATAAACTTCCAGCTCTTGAGGAAAACAGGACGTTGATTGGCGATCGCTCCAACTTCCACCGCGCGACAAGCGTTGCCGCGTTCTGTGTGCAGGAGCCATAAGAATTGACGAATCACAGTCGATTATTATTATTGTACATATATAATAACGAGATTCAGAAAGTATAACAATAAATAAGTATATATACAATAACGAGATTCAGAAAGTATTTCAAAGTTTCAAGTGTGTAATATTCAGATACATTTTCGAATACTCCGTTTATTTTTCTCAGTTTCTATAACGTCTCGTCTAAATAGCAGATTTTAAATATATTTCGTGCAGATGTTTGTCGCGTATTTTGTTCGAATGCTGACTAATGCGATTAGTCTAGATAATGACAGAAAGACAATTGCGTTGAGAAATACAAAGGAAGGTATAAATATAATGATGTTTTAAGAATTTGATCGACACAATATCGTTAATATTTCGAATATCAAAAGAAGTTCTAAGAATCTCCTATATCTCATATTCGAAAGTAGCGCTAGTTTGGTCAAAGAAACGAATCACTGGCTGTGTTCCGATATTCACTGCCAGCATTGAAAATCTATAGTATAAGTGACACAAACTATATATTTTCAATACTGGCAGTGAATATCGAAACGCAGCCACTGTGATTAGTTGGCTTGACTGATTCGAATAATCCAATCGCTGCGCTGTTCGCAATCGTAATCAGTTATGTCGCGGGCTGTGTGGAATAGCGTGCGAAGAACGATTGCTCGTGATTTTAGCTCGCCGTAACCACCGACGAGCTAATACTAAAGACTGTCAGTCCTAGATAAATTTTCGTATTGACCAAGGAAGCCTCGAGGGACACGGCGGTAATTGAAGAGCGATAATAATATCAAAGACCCATATTCAGAACATGCTTATAACTATGTTAAGTATGGTCTATAATGGCAGTAAGCAGTAAGAAGTAAGCGTAAGCGGTAAGAAATAAACCAATCACAGTCGACTATGACAAAAATAAACAACTGTGGTTGGTCCATTTCTTAAGGTCATTCTACAATGAGGTTGTAGTAGTATGCAGTAGGCAAATTGACCAATCACGATCGATTGTTCTCTTTACGATCGAAGAAAAATCGACTGTGATTGGTCAATTTGCCTACTGCATACTACTACAACCTCATTGTAGAATGACCTTTACTGTTCACGCTTACTTCTTACCCCTCGTGTACAATAGAAGTCGTAGAGTCGTAAGTCGTAGAAATTGACCAATCATAGTCCGGTAAGAGAAAAATAATCGACCGCGATTGGTCAATTTGTACGACTTACGATTCTATGGCCGGTATTCATAGTCGGATCTTATATTTAAGACCGTCTTAAGTTTATCTTCAAACTTTGTACAAAGCATTGCATTGGCTATAGAGTATCTGAAAGTGAACTTACGACTGTCTTAAATATAAGACCTGACTATGAATACCAGCCTATGACTTCTATTGTAGACATGGTATAACTGCTTACTGCCATTGTAGACGACGCTGCAGGCCTGGTCTACAATAGGTGTTCTAAGCTGTAAGCTTGTAAGAACTGACCAATTACAGCCGATTATTTTTGTATTGGGTGTGTGAATATGACTCCGCCCTTTCCCAACAGATTTTGCTTTTAGTATTGTGAACGTAGCTGGAGAATGGCGTATGGGTACACCCTTCTACCTAAAGCCATATACCGAACTGAACTGAACTGAGTATTGTGAACGTGTACTAATAACTGGCAACACTTGTATTCGATAGTACTTCATGTCAACTTTCAAACGCACTACGTGAAATTTGGTTTAAGTGTAAGCAACAAGTGTTTAACCCTACTTGAAAATGTCGGTTTTCGTTCCAAACAAACATCATTTGCGGGAAGTATTATTACACTATTTTATTGCAAAGAAAAGTGCAGCGGAAACTTATCGTTTGCTTGTGGAGATTTACAGTGATCATGCTCCATCTAATACAACTTGTAAGGAATGGTTTCGACGATTTCAAAATAATGATTTTGGAACCGAGGACAGAGAACATGGGAAACCACCAAAAAAATTTAAAGATGCTGAATTGGAAGCATTATTGACAGAGGATTGTTGCCAAACTCAATCCGAATTGGCTGTAGCATTGAATGTTGAACGATCAACTGTTGCAAAACGTTTAAAAGCAATGGGAATGATTCAAAAAGTTGGTAACTGGGTTCCATATGATTTGAAAGAAAGAGAGATCGAACGTCGAAAAACAATTTGTGAAATGCTGCTTCAAAGACAGCAAAGAAAAGGATTTTTGCATCGAATAGTCACGGGAGATGAAAAATGGATATATTATGAGAATTCTAAACGCCAAAAAGCTTGGGTGAAGCCAGGTGAACCCGGTCCATCACTGCCAAAGAGAAATATTCACTGTGCCAAGGTTATGCTCTGTATTTGGTGGGATCAAAGAGGTGTTGTATATTATGAGTTGCTCGAACCCTCTGAAACTATTAAAGGAGAAGTTTACCGACGACAACTAATGCGTTTGAAACGAGCCATAGAAGAAAAACGGCCAGAATGGGTGAATAGGCATAGCAAATTAATTCTTCAGCATGATAATGCCAAACCGCATACCGCAGAAGTGGTGAAAAGATATTTATGGATGGACAGGACTGGGAAGTGCTACTCCATCCGCCATATTCGCCAGACATAGCTCCTTCAGAATACTACTTATTCCAGACGATGCAGTCAGATCTTACTGAAGAACGGTTCACTTCATACGAAAGTATCAAAATTTGGCTTGATAATTGGATCAGCTTAAAAGACCAGGAATTCTTCAGGCAAGGAATAGATAAATTACCTGAAAGATGGGCGAAGGTTGTAGCTGCAAATGGAGCATACTTTCAATAAACTTTTTTTTAATTTTCTAAACAAGCAAATGTGTTTTATTTTAACAAAAAAGGGCGGAGTCATATTCACACACCCAATATTATTCTTGTGAAATTTACAATCTTTTGAATTTTGACTATTACTTTTAACTAGTAAAAGGTGATCTTCCAATTTTTATATATAGTGTAAAACTATAACCAACCTGTAAGTTATAGCTTATCTCCAAGTAATAAAAAGACGAACCAGACGACAAATGAGACGGACTTTTACTTTATTTGTATATAGTTGTACACATATAGAGAGTAAAAGAAATCTTTAGGACATTATGACAAATGCTTGTATAAACGCATTAATCTTTAAAATTGTCCTTGAAAATTGTATTACTTTAAAATTTATTTCTTTTTGAAGAAACTGGAAATATTCTTAGATCCTGCTGCTGCTCTCTGTTTGGCTAATTCTTTTTTGCCAGGAGTAGCATTTTTCTATAAATAGAAAAAAATGAGAATTTTTAATTTAGAATCTTGTTTAGGAATGTAATATTCCAAAAGTTTCATATAGACTTTATATTTTACCTTTATTTGTAATGTAAAATGTAAGAGGCAATAATTGTTATATAACAAAAACTACAATTAGTAATAAACTTTAAATACATACGTTTAAAAAATTCGATGTTAATTATATTATAAATATTACATCATATTATATTTTCAAAATATTATACCTTCTCTGGCTTAGTTAATTCCTTCATCTTTGCTTTTGGTGTTGGGCTTTCTTTTAAGGAATCTCTCTTTGGTCGTTTCTCTTCAGGCTCAATTTTTGGATTACTTAATTTGCGCTTTTTACCCTCTGCTTCATCAGGTATATTCATATATTGCGCCAACTGTTTTGATAGATCTTCCGCAAGGTATTCCGATACAATACCATGTGCATATTTCAAGTATTCTACAAGGAAATTTTCAGTAAATGCTTTGTCAACGAATTGATGTTGCTTGTTCATAGCCTACAAAAATCAGTTTAAAAAGAAGTCTTATTATACCGTTTTAGCTATAAAATAACAATCATTGAGAAATTTCCAAATATTCAATCTTATTCAGCATGAAGGAAAAAGATCAATTTTCACATCAATTTATATAACTTATCAAAGTGTAATATCATGTTAAAATAATCTTTTTTTCTCACCTGCCTCTGTACCAGTTTCAAATTTAGTACTTTTAACATAGGTAGCACTCATAGCCCCTTGGGACACATGAATTCCTTTCTGTTTTAACACATCTGCTACTCTTTCTACCTTCTTCTGTAACCATTTTAATGATTTTTCCTCATTAAATTTAAAAGCTTGCAAGGACTCATCTCCCTTACGATCAGCTACTAATGACAGCTTCAAATTTTTACATTGGGCAAGGCGTGACGTCTCTGGATAATCCTCATCCCACAAACATTGTTCTAAAGGTTGTGCTAACTGTGACTGTAATAAAAATATTTATCTCTGTTACAACTTGATTCTTAAAGATGCCAATAATCAACATCAGTAAACAAATTTTGTAATTACCTTTCTTAAGTATGGTAAGACTAAAAACATTGGATCAATTGGTGTTGATAGATGCAACTTGCCATCAGATTTAACATTATTGTCAATAAACCAAGATCGTTTGCTTTCATCAAACATTAAAACTTCCTGGACTGTAATATTTCCAGGACTAAATACAAATATAGCTGGTTTGCTAGAGGCTGGATGTCTGAGCTTTACAACTTCTGGTTGGCCATCATCTGTATCATCTAGATTATCTCCTGAAATAAATATATCTCAGATATACATAACGGAGTTTTGACCGACAATGCATGCTAATTGGTGGAAACTAGTGCAAAAATTATAAAAATAATCAATAAGCCGGGCGGTGATATATCGTCGATGTTTGCACTCACCCTTCATGAGGAACACCCACGTATTCGCTGACGGATGACAGTTTGCAGTCTTGACGCATTTTTGCGGCGAGCCTTTGGTACGCGGCATTTTCTTCTTCGTGTTGTTGCTCTCTGCTGCTGCTGCTACTGCTGCTACTGCTGCTACTGCTGCTGCTGCTGCTGCTGCTGCTGCTGCTGCTGCTCCTGCTGCTGCTGCTGCTGCTGCTGCTGCTGCTGCTCCTGCTGCTGCTGCTGCTGTGTTGCCTTTTGTTGTAGGTTAATTTTTGGGCGGCTCAGTAGAATCCGATCGAGAACCGTACTTTTGCCGTATGTATGTGCAACAATTCAACGACTATTCATTCTTCGCGAGGAATTTGGATTTTGGTTTCTTGAAAATGACATTTCTCGCGTACGCGTTCGCCGCGAAACCATCTCAAGCGCGACATGTTGCGGAAAACTTTCTCTTTCTCCTTCGCACCTCACTCACTGCCTCCTCTCTCTCGCTCACTCTTTTCTCTTCAATGCTGCCACTAGGCGTATAATAAGATGAATTCCCTAACGCCACTGTTCAATAAATTACGGAAAATTCGATAGGTTGCATTTGAAAGTTGCATTTGAAATGAATCGATAAAGAAGCACAGGGAATCGATATCTGTCGACGTACTAATATCGATAGTTAACGCATAATAAAGAGTATAGTAAAGAGTTTTTGCAATCTTATCTCTCAGATACAATAAACGTTGATCGTGAATGCTATTGATCGGGTATATTGCGACGTTATTTCTGAACGAACAATGTTCAAGATTTACGTTGCAGCCGTTCGGGCCACAACGTGGCCTAGTTGATTCATCAACTGTTGTTAGCGGCGTGTGGCGAGACGTAAGAATGGCGAGATAAAACATGAATAGCGGCATGTTATCTTCCCCTCGCCGTGCACCGCTAATAGTTGCTAGCTGTATTATCTTGAGCGTAGCTAAAGCAGTCGATAGTATCATCGTTCTTCAATTATCTCCGGGCCCCTTAGGGCTCGCTTGGCAGATACGAAAATTTATCCAAGGCTATAGGCCGTATTCGTAGTCGGATCTTATATTTAAGACCGTTTTGAGTTCACATTCAGATATTCTGTAGCCAATGAAATAATCTGTACAACATCTGATGATGAACTTAAGACGATCTTAAATATAAGACCGGACTATGAATAATAGCCCTATTAGCAGAGAGGAAGCTGAGAGCGGCCAACACGGCGTTTTCGGCGACACCGATTTTTCGCACTGGGAATGGGCGCTATTTGCATCCATTTTGAGAGCAGCACTACGATGCTACATCCACTTTTAGGTCTCGACGGTAAAACCTGCATCTGGTGGCTGTCCGTGCTACATCCACTTTCAGGCGGTTTATGTCCGTGCTACAACCATAATAGCGTACTTGACAAGCACGGTCTCGCGCATTGTTATGCATTTGTAACATGAATTAACATGTTAACATGCACAAAAAAAATAAGAATTGAGATTGCATATGATTAATATCATGAAGATTATATACGATTTATATCGATATATAAATATATGATAATAAGATAATATTTTGTGTGTACCCAAAATTATTTTTCCAAAATATTTCAGCGTTACGTTAGTATTTATTTATACTCCGGCAGGCGTTTTTTAGCGCAGTTGTATCCATGTGCATGTGTTGCATTGAAAGTGTGCGTGACGTACGTGTGCATAAACGAACTCACACACACACACACACGTGTAATACGCAACAGATAGAATCTCAGGGTATATGTTTAAACATTTTCAATTGCCGTACGTTTCTTTGTAAGAATGTAGTCGGCAGACACACACAGAGAAACTGCTCCCGTCTATCCGTCTGAGGCCCCTCCCTCCGCTCGACTTGTTTTGACGAGCCAAGCGAAAGAGAGAAAGAGAGGGAATGTGTTCGCTCCATCTCGTACTGATTCGCAACGTTGCCGAAATTGTGCTTCCCGACACACGGCCGAAACTGACGTTTCACTCTCGGCGTGAATTCAACGAGATGATCAATAGCAATCGATTTCGACTAAACTCTTTATTTTGGACTTTATTTTGGTGCAAGAAACAGGCCTGTATCTCTAGCCATTTAGGAGATATCGAAGGTTAAAGTTTTCCCACATTTCTCCGTTGATATCTCCGCTTCTACTGGGAGTAGAGAGTCGTCATTTACGAGAAAATGTAGGGTTTTGTGAGGACTTCATTTTGGTGCCAGAAACAGGCCTTTATCTCTAGTCAATGAGGAGATATCGAAGGTTAAAGTTTTCCCACCTTTCTCCGTTGATATCACCGCTTCTACTCGGAGTAGAGAGTCGTCATTTTCGGGAAAATGTAGGGTTTTGAAAGGACATTATTTTGGTGCCAGAAACAGGCCTGTATCTCTAACCATTTAGGAGATATCGAAGGTTAAAGTTTTCCAAGCTTTCTCCGTTGATATCTCCGCTTCTACTGGGAGTAGAGAGTCGTCAATATAGTCGAAAATGTAGGGTTTTGAGAGGACTTTAATTTGGTGCCAGACCGAGGCCTGTATCTCTAACCGTTTAGGAGATATCGAAGATTAAAGTTTTCCAACCTTTCTCCGTTGATATCTCCGATTCTACTGGGAGTATAGAGTCGCCATTTACGGCAAAATGTAGGGTTTTGAGAGGACTTTAATTTGGTGCCAGAACCAGGCATGTATCTCTAACCGTTTAGGAGATATTGAAGGTTAAAGTTTTCCAAGCTTTCTCCGTTGATATCTCCGCTTCTACTGGGAGTAGAGAGTCGTCAATGTAGTCGAAAATGTAGGGTTCTGAGAGGACATTAATTTGGTGCCAGACCGAGGCCTGTATCTCTAACCGTTTAGGAGATATCGAAGGTTAAAGTTTTCCAACCTTTCTCCGTTGATATCTCCGCTTCTACTGGGAGTATAGAGTCGCCATTTACGGCAAAATGTAGGGTTTTGAGAGGACTTTAATTTGGTGCCAGACCGAGGCCTGTATATCTAACCGTTTAGGAGATATCGAAGGTTAAAGTCTTCCAGCCTTTCTCCGTCGATATCCAGCCTTCCTCCGTCGATATCTCCGCTTTTACTGGGAGTAGAGAGTCGTCCATGTAGTCGAAAATGTAGGGTTTTGAGAGGACTTTAATTTGGTACCAGAGCCAGGCCTGTATCTCTAACCGTTTAGGAGATATCGAAGATTAAAGTTTTCCAACCTTTCTCCGTTGGTATCTCCGCTTCTACTGGGCGTAGAGAGTCGCCATTTACGGCAAAGTGTAGGGTTTTGAAAGGACTTTAATTTGGTACCAGAGCCAGGCCTGTATCTCTAACCGTTTAGGAGATATCGAAGTTTAAAGTTTTCCAACCTTTCTCCGACGATATCTCCGCTTCTACTGGGAGTAGAGAGTCGTCCACGTAGTCCAAAATGTAGGGTTTTGATAGGGCTTTAATTTGGTACCTGTCCGAAGCCTGTATCTCTAACCGTTTAGGAGATATCGAAGGTTAAAGTTTTCCAACCTTTCTCCGTCGATATCCAGCCTTCATCCGTCGATATCTCCGCTTCTACTGGGAGTAGAGAGTCGTCCATGTAGCCCAAAATGTAGGGTTTTGAAAGGGCTTTAATTTGGTACCTGTCCGAAGCCTGTATCTCTAACCGTTTAGGAGATATCGAAGGTTAAAGTTTTCTTCTCCGTCGATATCCAGCCTTCATCCGTCGATATCTCCGCTTCTATTGGGAGTAGAGGGTCGTCATTGTAGTCCAAAATGTAGGGTTTTGAAAGGGCTTTAATTTGGTACCTGTCCGAAGCCTGTATCTCTAACCGTTTAGGAGATATCGAAGGTTAAAGTTTTCTAACCTTTCTCCGTCGATATCCAGCCTTCATCCGTCGATATCTCCGCTTCTATTGGGAGTAGAGGGTCGTCATTGTAGTCCAAAATGTAGGGTTTTGAAAGGGCTTTAATTTGGTACCTGTCCGAAGCCTGTATCTCTAACCGTTTAGGAGATATCGAAGGTTAAAGTTTTCTAACCTTTCTCCGTCGATATCCAGCCTTCATCCGTCGATATCTCCGCTTCTATTGGGAGTAGAGGGTCGTCATTGTAGTCCAAAATGTAGGGTTTTGAAAGGGCTTTAATTTGGTACCTGTCCGAAGCCTGTATCTCTAACCGTTTAGGAGATATCGAAGGTTAAAGTTTTCTAACCTTTCTCCGTCGATATCCAGCCTTCATCCGTCGATATCTCCGCTTCTATTGGGAGTAGAGGGTCGTCCATGTAGTCCAAAATGTAGGGTTTTGAAAGGGCTTTAATTTGGTACCTGTCCGAAGCCTGTATCTCTAACCGTTTAGGAGATATCGAAGGTTAAAGTTTTCTAACCTTTCTCCGTCGATATCCAGCCTTCATCCGTCGATATCTCCGCTTCTATTGGGAGTAGAGGGTCGTCATTGTAGTCCAAAATGTAGGGTTTTGAAAGGGCTTTAATTTGGTACCTGTCCGAAGCCTGTATCTCTAACCGTTTAGGAGATATCGAAGGTTAAAGTTTTCTAACCTTTCTCCGTCGATATCCAGCCTTCATCCGTCGATATCTCCGCTTCTATTGGGAGTAGAGGGTCGTCATTATAGTCCAAAATGTAGGGTTTTGAAAGGGCTTTAATTTGGTACCTGTCCGAAGCCTGTATCTCTAACCGTTTAGGAGATATCGAAGGTTAAAGTTTTCTAACATTTCTCCGTCGATATCCAGCCTTCATTCGTCGATATCTCCGCTTCTATTGGGAGTAGAGGGTCGTCATTGTAGTCCAAAATGTAGGGTTTTGAAAGGGCTTTAATTTGGTACCTGTCCGAAGCCTGTATCTCTAACCGTTTGGAGATATCGAAGGTTAAAGTTTTCTAACCTTTCTCCGTCGATATCCAGCCTTCATCCGTCGATATCTCCGCTTCTATTGGGAGTAGAGGGTCGTCCATGTAGTCCAAAATGTAGGGTTTTGAAAGGGCTTTAATTTGGTACCTGTCCGAAGCCTGTATCTCTAACCGTTTAGGAGATATCGAAGGTTAAAGTTTTCTAACCTTTCTCCGTCGATATCCAGCCTTCATCCGTCGATATCTCCGCTTCTATTGGGAGTAGAGGGTCGTCATTATAGTCCAAAATGTAGGGTTTTGAAAGGGCTTTAATTTGGTACCTGTCGAAGTCTGTATCTCTAACCGTTTAGGAGATATCGAAGGTTAAAGTTTTCTAACTTTCTCCGTCGATATCCAGCCTTCATTCGTCGATATCTCCGCTTCTATTGGGAGTAGAGGGTCGTCATGTAGTCCAAATGTAGGGTTTTGAAAGGGCTTTAATTTGGTACCTGTCCGAAGCCTGTATCTCTAACCGTTTTGGAGATATCGAAGGTTAAAGTTTTCTAACCTTTCTCCGTCGATATCCAGCCTTCATCCGTCGATATCTCCGCTTCTATTGGGAGTAGAGGGTCGTCCATGTAGTCCAAAAT